TCTTTCTCTTGTCACCATGCTTACGTTTATTTTCTTCTCCGTTTCATGTCCTGATTGCCTCAGATCCTGTCTTGCGCCGACCACGCTTTTTTGTAAATCTTTGTAATTAATGAGCCCCCGAGGGATTTACTGTGCAGTGTTAAGTTTCTGGGGGTTCTGCTTGGTTGAGTTTAGCTGATGATGTGAAAGTGAGGTATTACCTTCCTCTCTGTGCCAATCGATCACAATGAGGGTGAAGGGGAGGGGAGTTGAGCTGGAACTTAGACGATAGGAGCTGGGGTCTGAGCACCCCAGCGATTTTTGTTCAGGGGGGACTCCAGAGAGTGTGTCTCCCTGCATTAAAAATAACTAACAGTTCTGTAACACTCTAAATCAGTCCATGGAGGGAGGTGGCAATGTGATATCCTGGGACAGACTGAGGAGTGATGTTTTCAACACGGACACTTTTGCAAGTCTGAAACTTGAAAAGAAAGGTAAGTTTCGCTTCTTGTTTAATGTAGATCCAAACATACTGTAGGAAGTATACTTCCAGACATGAAAGCTTTTTTGACTATGCACCCTTATAAAACAGTATTGAGCTTATTAATATGATAATACAACAGATTGTGTCAGAACATTAATATTTTAGCAATTGCATGCTTTGCATGAAGTCAGTTTAAATGATCTTTCCAAGGAAAGTTTTGTTTTTACATTTTAAATAAATCTTTCAAATCTCTACATCTTTTAAATCCCCTTATGAATAAATGTTTCTAGCTTATACATGAATATGTTAGAAATCCCAACCTATAAAAACCACAATTCCAATGATAATTATTAAATAACAGGAATATATACATCTACATCTTACAAATAAAAATATATACTGACTATATGTTCTGACTCCCCTGAACCCTGAATTCGATGTGGCTGTTAGAAAATGAATGGACAGATGGATATACAGTGCATGAATATACCTGAATGTACTATATGTATTTATATATAACTGCAATAATGTTTGTAATTGCTTATAGTGTAATTATGTGTAATTATGCTTACATATAACCTGAAGAAGGTTCCACAGCCTTTGTTTTTTCCTCTTTTCAGCATGGAATAAACCTTCACTTGTTCCTTTACATACTGTATAACTACACTGCACTTCTCAATTTTTCATTTTTAATTTGTAAACACTACAATGTGGTATATATATCGTATATGATCTATTTTTTGTAACTTACTCAAAATGATCTAGTAAAAGAATAACATTTTAATTATGCTATCGGTTATTTCATCTGTATGAAATCTCAAAGACATTCCTTAGCCAATAAAGGTTGAAATCTTTCCCAAATGTTTTACTTTTTTTTTTAGTTTAGGGAGTAAAGGAGAGTCATTAAAGATCGTATGAATAGTTTTCTTCTGATTCTCTAACTTTCAAAAACCAAAGTTCCCTTCAATTTCTTGTTGTCAGTGTTATTTCTATTTTGCTAACTGGAGTTGCGTGGATTTTCCCTGTCCTGACTCACTGTGATGCAGGAATGCCAGTGAGAGACATGGGCCTCCCATCTGCAGTAATCAGGTTTGATCCACATTTAATAACTGGGTCAGTAGGGAAGGAATCTTAAGCAACATCAAGCACAGCATTTGGAGTTCATTGGCAGAAATCTGAGTTTCTCAAGGCGAGGTTGTAACAGTCTTTGAACTGGGATATTACTACAACCACATTTTATTAAAAAAAGTGATCATCATACTTACAGGGTCAAACATCTTGGAACTTGGGATAGAGAGATATGGTGTTTCAACATTCCACAACTTAATATAAATATAGAATATAATGTCTTTTCCATAAGTGAGCAGGTGTATTAGCTCCAGACACTGAAATATTTTCTGATAAGGTGATTATCGAACTGATTTTCAAAGTGAATGCATTTATTTTGGAAAATAGAATCTGTCTAAGCTTATATGAAGAAATTCATCATGTTAGCACAATAGGTACTTGTGAGTCCTTTAGATTCCCCTGGTTTCAGCCTGAGTTCCCCCTTTTGGAATGTGGAAATTGCATTTCAGTGCAGCTAAAAGCTCATGGAGCTTACTTAAATGGCCAAGTAGTTTTTTTTTAATTAAGTCAATGTGTTCAGTCAGCACATACACTTGGAGCTGGTTTATCTTTGAAAGCATGTACTCCAGGATCAAGGTAGAAAATCAGGCTCTAAAATAACAGTGTTTAAACAGCCTTGGCTGTAAAATTAAATACCTGCGAACTGTTAATATGAATCATCAGTGGGACTGAATTGATATCATCTGAAAGTACATCATGTGAAATAAACCATATGGTATTTCTATTTTATTGAAGAATGCCACACAGTATATTTTGTCCATTTTCTAATCACAAGGCAGGGTACACCCTGGATGGGATGCCAGTCCATCACAGGGCAGAAAGACACAAACTCACACTAGGGCTAATTCTCCCCCGAAGCCAATTAACCTGCTAGTATGTTTTTTGGACTGTGGGAGGAAACTAGAGCACCCAGAGGCAACCCACACAAACACAGGGAGAACATACAAACTCCACACAGATAGCACCCCAGGTCTGGAATTGAACCCAGGACCCTACCACTGCAAGGTAACAATGATAATGACTGTGCCAACCTGGGAGATAGTTTATGTTTGATAAAAATATCATATGTGAAGAAAAAGCATAAACATAGAAAAAGGACCAGTCTCTCAGAGATTTGGCTTACAAAATATAAAACAAAAAATTGGAAGAGTACTTCTCTTTACAAAACAAAAAATTAACCAGACAAGTATTTTTTATCATTTTCATATATTCATATTAGTATAGTAACAAAATATGCAGAATGATGATGCAGAATGATGTCTATGTTAGACACCACACACATAAGGATGACTTGGATTCTATGCATTACTGTAATAATATGGTATATTGTAATTTACAGAATAATGCAAACCATCTGGCTATGTGAGGCACAGATAGCATTAAGAGACAATCATTACAAGCTGCATAATTGTGTTTTGAAATGTGATTCAACCTGTAGTATTTTTATTTTTAAGATATATGTATATTAGAATGAAAGAATCTTAAAATAATATTAGTCTTTACAAATATCCAAAATGCTGAACTTGTAATATCGTTATTGGACAGCATTTCAATTGGAGACTTTATAACTTATCTTGAGACCATTAGTGCTCACTTTTAGCCATTTGGAAGAAGCAGAAAGGTTACAATTTACTAAAAGAAGTAAGGTTTCATTTTGACAGATGTCCACTGTTTTCTAATACACCACTCTGGAAATTCTTGACTTAACTCCTTTTTTTAAATCATTTTTGTTTTATTTTATGAACAATCAAATAACGGTAATCTTAACTAATCTAAATTAAATGTATCCTTCTAAATCCAAAGTGGTGTAAGTGGAACATGAAGAAGTAATAGAGTTGTCATTGTCATGAGACATTTTTCACCACCAAAACAGCCAGTTTTGGTATTGGGCTTTCACATGACAAAGGCAGGTATTGCTTTAACTGTGAGAGAACCCAAGTAGTACATGTTAATGCAAAACAATGTATGATTAATTGGTCAGTGGAAGCAATGAATGAAATCATTCCATAGCATGCACACGAAGGATTGAATTTTATGTTCCGTATAACATAAATAAAGCCAGAGAACTGTTAACCTGTAGTATACAAACAATTTCTTGCATCTAGCAAGTTTAGTTAAAAACATGCTTTTGTGACATTTGACAAAAATAAAATGCAGACAGCTGACAGAGGCAAATTGTCTGATCAACAAGCAATGTATCTTTTGAGAAAAACAAAGGAGTAGACTGTTATAAATAGCCTTATGAACTTAAAGTAACAGACAGGGAAAAGATTTGCTCCTTACTATAGGATGAGGTAATTTGTCAGTTTAGTCAGCAGGAGAAAATTACTACTAAGGTGTGTTTTTTGGAACAAAAGTTTTTTACAGGCTACAGTGAAACTGGCAGAGCTCTTTTCTTCTTGCAAACTGCTGTTGCTCTGCCTTGACTTACAAAAAAAGGCCAGATGATGGCTTCACCTCTGTAGCCTGGACTTTCATTCTTAAAACAGAAAAACTGAAAGTATGCAAAGACTTATTTTGATATAATGAGATATAATATGTCTTATTACAGATCAGCTATAATTTTGATTTTGAAAACAATAACATGAGACAAAATATGTTTCTACTAATAAACTGCAAATAAATTATTTTGCAATAAATACTGTACTTGATGATCCTAGGACTAATGAAGCCCCCAGCCAACTCATTGCAATAAAATGGGAATAAAACCATGACAACCAGTGCAAAGTAAGCCATAAATGTGGTGTTGTGACAACATCTTATCAAGCGCATGTACAGTCCACAGAAAGATAACAACATAATCCTCAAGAGGCGTGGAGTGATTAAAAATAACATTGAGACTTAAAAAGCAAAGAGTGAACAACATTTTTTATACAGATTGAAATCTGGTTCAGGCTTTTTTAGAGCCCTACACCAGAAGGTAAAAATCTGAAATTCACAGTAAGACAGTTTGTCCCTCTTCATAGTGGTCTAAATCAAGTAATCGTATAAATAAATCACAAAACCAGTGGTGTCATTTCTGCATTGTGTTGGTTTCCAAGATGTCTAACACTGGAGCTAATTTATTCTGTAGCTGAATTGACACTGACTCTGAGGGAGTACAGTATGTGCTTTGTATAGGATGGTAGAAAATCACTATCAGGTCCACTAGATGTCTCAGTCCCTGTGTGAAATAAGCTTCTGGTCTTCTTTTTCACCCCTAACCTCTGATTGGATAGGCACAGACCTGTCTTCAGAAATAACAATAATCCTCTTTGACACATCCCCTAACCCAACCCCTCACCCCCCCCCCCACCCCACTATTCCCGCTGCCCTCTTCAACCACCACCTCTAGAAACCTGCTGTTGGGAGGAGATTTAATCCAGCCGGATTATTCTGTACACTGTGTGGCAGACCAGTCAGCCCTCCCTCCTGCAGTACTGAAGCCAAAGGGCTCTGGGCTGCTTCTGTGGTCTGCGACTGGAGCAGCTGTCCATTTTCTTTCCGACTCTCTAGTTTAAGAAACTGATTGAAAAGGTCCTGTCTTTAGGGGCAAACTGGGCTCTAGAAAGCAAGGTGGTGGTATCTTTGTCTTAGCATTTTTCCACGTTGGATTCATAAAAAGACGTCGGGGGGAGGGGGGGGGGGTTCATAAAGTGCATGTGGATGCATTCCCAGTTTTGGAGAGGAATGATTGGGCCTTCTCTCTCGCTGGACGTCTCCCTCGGGGAACAGCAACGGGGAAAGTTGTAGGAGAGGCAAGAGGATGAGATCGAAGAGAGGAAGGAAGAGGGAGCACCGAGGCAGAGAGGCAGCGGTGGGCAGAATGCGCGGCCTTCAACTGCGTCAGTCAGCAAGATCCTCTGACCCAGCCTCAGGAAGACCTCAGGAAGACGCAGGAGCCTAAGAAGTCTGGGCCAACATGTCAGACCACAGACTACCTACCAGGATTCTTTTTCTTTTGGTGGACACCTTGTCTTCTTTGCACATGACCTTTTAGGATTTCTTTGCAAGCCATATCCGTAGATACGTTTCTTTCTTTCTCGAGCAGAACTGCAGGAATGATGTTGTGCTGTGGGGGCTGGTGTGCAACACTGAGAAGAACGGCAAGGCTGCGGGTCATTCTCTGGATTATCTGCTCCAGCTGTCTCTGTTACTCGGCAAATGCACAGCCCAGGATCCCGACTGAAACGTAAGTGCTGCCCCAACTCACTAATTTCACTTTATGTGCTTGCCTTTGTTCCTTAAATTGAAGTGATCTTCAATGCATTTGAGGCCCCTTGGCAGGAGGTGGGGACCAGTCTTAGAAATAATAATGTTATGAAGAGAATGGATCCAGTTCAATTCACTTGGTAAAATGTTTACCAGGATTGAATGATTCAAAGTATGCTCATCATTTAGGAAAGAACAGCTGATGCCTGCATTTTATTTGCCTGGAAATGCTACATTGGAATCATCCCTCTTGAAATTATCCTACCTCTTCTTTCTCTTCTTATCTAATAGTATACAAAATAATTAAGGGTACTGGTGATAATTAAAGAACAATATAGGCCCGGGGCACAGAACAGCAGCAGTGTTCTGTAAGTCGGTAATAATCAGAAATGCCGGTATGCTCTGTAGCTCAAGGATACAACTGACCTCAATATCTCTTATTTTTTACTTCTTCTTATTAGAATAATAGTTGAAGATAAGATCAATAAACAAAAAAGAGCCTGTTAAATAATAAAACTACAATGTAGATCCGGAACACAGATAAGTTAATCATTTATAATAACTCAGTAGAACAAATAATAGTAAGTGTTGCAGTGTTGTTTTGGTGTTGATACAGCTGCCTGGAATACCTTCACTAATTCAGGTGAAGGGCTGCATAGAGGAATTCTGTGTGTTTGAGCAAGTCAGCAGTTAGTGTAGGGCTTCAACACTGGTGGTTGTACAACTGTATTGTAAAAAAAAATCATGCCTAAAACATATTATATGACTATAAAGTTAAGTAAATGGTCACTAACATACAGTAGATCTGTTTTTTTCAAGCGACATATTTTTTCACTTTTTTCAAGTCCAAAGATGTTGAATGTTTTACATTCAGAACTGCTCCTTCCTAAATGATCACCTACTGTATTAGAGCTTGTATGAAAAATTAATATTCAGAAGAGCTAAACATGAACAGGTGTCCCATAGCTTATTTTTATCCTCTGTGAAAGCAAATGATGTAAATGCAATCAACTGTGCAGGCTCTTATCTGACGATGATGTTTTACTTTCATCTCAGAGTGATTTGAAATCTGTGAATTTTAGGTAGACAGAGCTAATGTAGAAATAAACTGCCTTGCAAACGTATAAGTACTGTGTAGAGGTATACAGGTATAATATATTACATTTTTACTAGTAGTGCAAGGTATCTTTGAAAAGTTTCTGCTCTAAAAGAGATTTTAAATCAAATAGAAAATTAAGGACTCAATCCTTAATCAGTCATTGAATCTGTTCTTATATTTATCCTGGATAGATATATACAATATAATATATAATATATATACAATATTTGCAGGTGATATCAAAATAGGAGCAGCAATTTCAAAGCAACAATGGGACACAGAGACTTCATCAATGTCCAGATGCAGGCAAACACAGATCAGACGTAGATTCAGAATATGATATGAGTAGCAAAAACACAAACTATAAATATAAGACTGAGCTTAAAGAAGCGAGTTCTGAAAAGAATTTAGGTATTCATGTCGATACATCATTTTCCTCCAGTAGAAAATATGGAAAACATTTAAACAAAGGCCAGCAGACTGTAAAGATAATTAAAAGTTTAGAATTTCAACTGTATGAAGTTATTACTATTATAAAATGTGCAATTCTGCAATGTATTATTACAACCCTGAATACTGCATCCTGTGGCTGTAATTTTACAAACAAATTTAAAACATTGCTGCACTTGAACTGTTACAAACTATCAGCTTATTAACCAGTTAAGAGAACTGAATCTCCTTGAAAAGAGGAAACTAGTATTTATTCAGAAGTTTTTAGGAAGTCCATCAAATTGACCCCTTCAAGATCAATAGTAAAAAAATAAACTATAGGACACTTGGAAAGAAAAGGGATGTGTTACTGAGGGCACTTCCTTGAACTTAAAGCTCTGAGAGCTTGGAACAAGACCAATTATGTTGTTCAATCTGATAGCCCGACTTCCTTTAAGAAACACCCTCAATTAGCTACTAGCAATGAATGTCCTTCTCCTGTTTGTGACCTTTGTCCTACTCTTAGTCAACTGGACATCACATCATACAGTAGGTTACCATCTTTTATTCATACTATACAGTACCTACCATATAAGTCATTCAAAAATAATAAGAATCCATTCTAATACAAATTCCTGTGATATTCCATTAAGTGCATTAACCATTAAACATTTCTCAATCCATACCCTGAAACAAAGTTTAGAGTCTCAGAACTATATTAGGAATATGAACTCATTGATCTGCCTGATCATATAAAATTATTTTGGCTAATGAAGTATTCTATATTTTAATATATTAAACAACACTACTATACAGCCATGGCGTCCTGTTTCCAAAAAACAAACAAACAATAATTCATAGTTGAATTTCCTGTCCTCAAATTATCCTGAAATCTTCATAGAAAAAAGAACCACAGTAGTAGGATATTTCTGCCTTAATCCAGTGTTGTTCAAACAGAAGCTGCACTAGCAAAGTTGGTTTATAGAGACATCTGCTGTGAAAAGAGGTGTATGGTTAGATATACTGTACTTCAAGTTTAAAGGCACTGCTTTAAACTTGCTAATAGGGAACTTCCTCCTTAGCACAAACTTAGTGAAGCATAAGGTTGTGAAGTTTAATTTACAAAATACAAAGGGACAGTTTCACAATTTAGTATTGGGGTAGTCATATTGCTGTAATCTCAAGTGAGAACTAAAGTGATGTGTGTGCTTCGTGCTTAGCATGATACAGCTCCTCACTCACCAATTATGTGCTGAGTATTAAGACAACAGTTTACATAGGCTCTTTAAAAGAGGTGCACTAGAGTGCTAACACTGAATCCCCAACAAGGTAACCTGACAGCAGTCACCCTGTGTTTTTATAGTTTATGGTTAACTGTCCTGCTGACCAGATATAATCTTTTATACACTATATTTACACAGAGGTAGAAAGCAGATGTCTCTAAACCCTTATTTTACCAAGTCTAATGGCAAAATGTTTGAATAGCATTTGATATCAAGTTAATCTTGAAATACTGTACTTGTCTTGTGGTTCATTAGCCTTTGAATTGGTCCAGTGTATAATTATATAATTTAAAATGAAAATGAGGTGAAAGGAAAACAATAATTCCATGTGGCTCAAGTAGGACAGGATCTAAAAACCTCATCCTCTAGCTGACCGGGACTATATGTTAAACACAGAGATTTAGTTGTCCAGTGTGCCAAACAGCTTCATTTGGGCACATTTGGCATCACCAAGCTATAATTTAACATTAAGGAACACACATAATCTGTATTGGAAGGCGTGGTGGTGCAGTTGTTAGCATTGCTAATTCTGGACCTGGGGTGCTATCTGTGTGATGTTTGTACAGTATATTCCCCCTGTGTTCATGAGGGTTTTCGCTGTGTGTTCTGGTTTTTCTCATAGTTTAACGATATACTGAGAGGTTAATTGTCGTCTGGGAAAATTGGCACTGGTGTGAGTGTGTGCATGCCTGTGTTTGTCTGTGATGGACTGGTGTATATGTCTTGTGTCTGTTGCTTGCTGGGGTAAGCTCTGGCTCCCCTGCAACCCTGAGTTGGCTGGCTGGAGAAAATGTATTGTATGACATTTTACAGTCCATTAAATTAGAGGTATTCATTTCATATGCTGCACTTTCAGACTATATCAGTCAAGTTCCACTGTGGAGTCATATTAATCATTTGAATATATTTAATGTTATATAGCTTGTTTTAACACTGTTATTACTGAGCCTATTTTCTAGCTTTATCCTGGAATACTGTTGTTTTTGTTGTCAATAATTTAATTAATTTGACTATATTGTTTCCACCTCCTAAAATGTTGAAATTTTGAAGAGACTGTGTTTGTTTGAGATTGGTTCTTGTAAAATGTGAGAGTTTTTTTATTTCTGTTTAAGAGCTGAAATCTGCTTCACAATTGTGTGTAAATAAGAACACTTGGATTCATTAAGAGCTTGATTATACAATACAGAGCTCAACTGGAATAGGACAAAACAGACTCAGAAGTGCTCTGAAACCAGCAACCAATCAACCTTTATTTTAAAGCATTGGCTAGAGTCACAACACTGCAACAGATTAAATACTTTTACTTGACCTGTATGTAGAGGAAGACAGAACATGCTAGAAATCAGGAATTAAGGTAGAGGGTCTCTAAATTATCTAAGTGTCAGGGAAATTATAAGAGAAAAAATGCGAACTGCACAGGATACAGGCATTATTGTGCTCTTGAAATAAATAATAATAGAAATAAATTATCACAGAAATCACAGACCTCAAAGAACTTCAGGAGCGTTAAATAACTATCTTGCCAAAAACAAGTCTTCCATGAAGGACCTAACCTTGGCAAAGATATGTAAAAGAAATAAACAAAAGCTTCTCTAATAATAGTCTTGTTTGCTGAAGACTATTCCTACCTCTTACATCCCATTTGTTGTAGCAAATGCAGGCTCATAAATAACAGCACCTCTGCAAAGATATGGATGGGTTAAAACAATGAATCCCTCATAGCAAGCACACAAAGTGAAAGTATGATTGAAGTGCCACCCACTGCACTCCATAGTTCAGAATAGCATAAGAACATACAGTATAGAGGTTTACAGATGAGAGGAGGCCATTAAGCCCATCTAGCACAGCTGAAGTGTCCTTCAGCTTTATACAGTAGGTTGTGTTCAACATTAGGGTATTTCTAGACATGATTAGCCTTCAGGGGATTGTATAAGTCTGCAGAAACCTTTGTGGAAGAATATGGTATAAAAGAAAAGTTTACTTTCAGTCTCCAATATTTCTTTTAAAATCTAGTAATATTCCACGTTAAGGGCTATTTTAGGATCCAGTATACTGTATAGATGCATTTATAGTATTATTTTGAATAGGGAGAAACTTGATTTCCTAGAAAAACTAAAGGTTTTATTTGAACAACCCTAGATGCTCATCATAACATAACTATGAACACTA